GCCCCGGTGCAGTGGTCCTGTGCCGTCAAGATCTTGATGCGGCGACGGCCTGGATCGGTCTGCAACTGTTTCTCCCTTGGTCTGATGTCTCGGCCCGGTACCTGCATACAACACATGTGTGTATCTGTTCGTGGACTTGGGTACGGTACCTGCGACCCGACAGTTTACTTTGACCTTTGAATTTCCCCAGTCTAGCGTTGGGTCTCACTAGCCAGATGCTGGGCTGGGCCGGGCAGTGCGTGGTCGCACAGCCCGGCCTCTGCAGAGTGCGGGTTACTGCAGCTCTATCTTGAGAGACGACATTCTTCCTGGTGGCGCATCTGGCAGGAAAGGGCGGAGCCTCTGAAGGGCCCTGGTCGAAGCACGGGTCACGGTCACCATGCCAACCCATGGGAGTAGTACACGCAGGCCATGCTGCTTTGTCCATTGAGGCTCTTTGTTGCACTGATAGAAGGGGTGTGCGGACTGACCAGTCCTACGGAGACGCTCCCAAACCGTCTATAAACATTTCTAGTTGGGGTCTGAACTGTCCACTGGCTGTGATCGTCGTCCTGATTGCGACGTTAAAGAATTCCTGAGGACTCTCAGGAGCTGTCCTTAAATTGCCTCTTGATCAGCCCGATCAGTCAGACGTAAGGCTCGTTGCACGCGAGGGTAAATAAAGGGCAGGCTGGTCATAAGCATACTTCTTGGGCACAGGGGTGGGCCGTGGTTGCACACCTTAGACACCGCAGCTTGATGATGCTCATAGGTACACTGGATACAGGGGAAGGGGATTCCAATTGTGAACTCAACTGAACATCACTACCATTTCCATTGTGCATACATCTGCTCACATTAGTCTACGTTTTATTTTTGATTAGTTGGTTGACCGACTGCTGACACCTAACAGACAGACTAGAGTAGGACTGTATTCTACCACAGTCAGTTCTTCTCGAATCTTTTGTACAGAACTAATCAGGATAGATCAAGACAATGTGTACAATTTGTGTAGGTTATGTTGATGCCGCTTGACTAGTAGTCTAGGTAACTCGCCGGACATTATTTTATTTTATTATTCTTAGAACCGGTCAGACGCATGTTGCGGTAGGTCCCAAAGAGGACTAGTGCAGACAACGTTTGCCTAGCTGATGAGCGGGTCAAAGGGTGCTGAAGGTACAGCTGACGATAGGAGGCAAACACGACGGGAGACCGGTAGGATACCCGTAGTGTTCCAGGTTCTACTACCAGGAGACGAGCGAAGGCTTAGGGCTGAAGCAAGGGCCCGTAATCTAGAGGTTGCGAGAGAGGCCGCCGCAGCAGCTGAACGCGCGTTGGCAGCAGCAGCAGCTAGCGCAGTAGCAATGGCTACTTCCTCAGCAATTGCCGCAAACTCAACTGGTCAGCAGACCAGTCCGCAATCCATCTCCGGTACGCCAGAAGCTGGCACTAGTCAGATGGCGGGCTCGCAGTTCAGCTGGCAGACTCCACGCACCCGGGAGTAGATGGAGCTCCAGCAAGTTGAGAGGATCCGCTTAAGGCTAGAGGAGGAACTTAAGCAGGCTACTAAAAGAGAGAAAGAGATTAGAGACAGGAGTGTCAGACTAGAGGGTAGGGAGGCAGACAAGGCTGCATTAGAGGAGTTAGATGACTCGACCCTCAGCAATAATGAAAAGGTTGTTAGGGTGAGCATCCTGTCCATGCATGCATACATGGACAGCAAACTGGATACAATCAAGGACACCCTAGACCAGATCATGAACACCATGCACAGGCCAGGAATCAGGCCAGCAGTCTTACCATCGCTGCCATTCTCAGCGATGACAGGATGGGCATCGGCACACCACTCTCGAAATGTGCAAAATGAGAATGAACTTCCCGCTAGAACATGGCCAGATGCACCCGCCACATTTTTGTCTTTTTCACATTTCGAGAGTGGTGTGGCAAGGCCCTATATGTCTCTCTCTCTCTCTCTCTCTCTCTCTCTCTCTCTCTGCCGCCTTGCACCCAAGTGCCCAAATGGTTGAATGGCAGCCGTGTACTTTCCTATATGGAAAGTGCTTGCCTGTGCTAGCTGCCTCTCCCTGGCAACCGTGCGCCCAGTAGCTTCATGTCGGGCCAAAGTGTCTGCACCCAGGCCCATTCAGACAGTGGACAGTGGCCTGGGACCGAATTGGTTAGGTGTGCCCAGCCACCCAGGCGCAAATGTGTGGTGTTTCCTTCTTCCCCTGTGTGGCAGGAAGAGCCTAGAACGCTCACAAATATTTCTGATTCTCACGAGCAGGAGGGATGTAACCAACTGGCGCTTGGCAACTGTCTGGCGCCCACCAAAGCTTTGCAAATTGACGAATTCAGGCCTCATTGAGATTCAGGGGCCCGCCTTCACTTAGGACGGACGCAAGCTTGCTTACGGGGGTTTCCTTTCCCCGCCTGGGAAAATATCGGGCCTCGGGTAGGCGTCCGACCTTTCCAGAGGCCGAAATGACATGACGGCCATAGATCGGATTTATCAAAGGCAGTCTTCGTCGGACCCAACCTCCGAAGATCCAGGAGCCTGGGAAAACTGCCAGTTTTCCCTATTTTCCCTCGCGGGAAAGGTAAAAACTCAGTGCGTGTGCCACAAAGAACCCTGACCTCCTTGCTCCACTACTCTCGAAATGTGCAAAATGAGACTGAATCCTCCGTTAGAATATGGAAAGATACAGTCCCCATATTCTAACGGAGGATTCAGTCTCCTTGCTCCACTGCCGAAATGTGCGGGCGCTAGAGAGAGAGAGGGCGCTGCAAGTAGGCAGCGCCATAGCCCAGCCCCCATAACCGGGCTTGGGCTTGGAGAAGGTCAGTGGGGATTAGGCAGTGGTCCTTGGTTGAAGGAGAAATGTGGGGGAGAAGGCAAGGATGAGCAAAAGAGGGCCAGTGATAGGGTGATGTGAGAGTACGTACCTGGTCCTGGCGGAGGTCGGCATGGTCAACATCTAAATATCCTGTGGTGACTGCTGCTGACGTCAACGGGCTGCTTCATCATTAGGATAGGCTAGTATAGTAGCTGTGAGATCGTAGTCCGTGCGCTGAGCGCCAAGTAGGAGGAAGAGCTTCGAGGACATTGTTGGTGGTGGCGGGAGAGTATGCTTTCATTGATAATTGAGTTCGCTGCTTTGGTTCTCCTTCCGTGTGGCTTCGGTTCATTTCTGCTTTCTGGACAGCTTACCACTATCTGGCTTTCAGTGTGATTTTGCAATCTGGAATTTTGCCATTTGGCCATTGCTCATTTTCCTTGCAGCAAGATACAGGGATAATGACAGTACAGTGCGTTCTATTCGGGGAGGACGGTGACACTGTGAAGGCGTGCAGAAAATGGCGATTGATCTGCTTTTCTGCATCTCTGCATAAAACATATCCAGATTCAGGCGGGAAAAGAAAAAGAGTAAATAAACGCGCAATCTTCAAAGTTTGCGACCATGTCAACGGGGCTCCCCGCACCACTCACCAAATGTGGAAAGGACAAAAACTCTGGTCGTGTATCTTTCCATGTTTTAGGGGAAGATCCACTCTCGTTTTGTGCATTTGGTGAGTGGTGCGCCGAGGCCCAATCCCTGGCTGCTCTCGGGTGTGGTAGGCGGGAGAACTGTCTATCCCTGCGTGAACTCTTGACGTCAACAAAAACGCCCTGGGCACTCGGCCCAAGTAATAATGTGAGCCGGTGGAGGAGAGGAGCGAAGGGGGGGAGAGGGGAGGGCGGAAGAGGGCGAAGGGGAGAGGAAAGAGAGAGGGGGGGGAGGGAGGACCCGAGAAACGTCAAGAAGGAAAAATCGGGAAAACGAAAAATAAGGAACCGATACACCGAACCTTGAAGACGGGTGTCTCCTCGTTTTTGTCTATCTGTTGTCGTCAACCCGGTAATCCAACTGGAGGACGACATTGAGGAGGAGGAGGAGAAGGATGGAGAGCACAAATATCCTGCACAACATTCCGCAATTGCGCGCCGATTTCCCTGGAAAACGCCACAATAGAGCCGCAACACGTAAATTCGATAATTCATTAATTAGCCAATCACTGTTCACGTTCAGCTATCCTGACATCCTGTTTGATTACTAATTTGATTAATCACAATACATGATATATATTACATTAGATTAAATTTAATCAATTGAATTGATCTGGGCGCGCCACATACATAGAAAAAATCCCAACTACAATTAGTGGGTTGGACACGTAAATTCGATAATTCATTAATTAGGCAATCACTGTTCACGTTCAGCTCTCCTGACATCCTGTTTGATTACTAATTTGATTAATCACAATGCATGATATACATTACATTAAATTTAATTTAATCAATTTCACTGATCTGGGCGCGCCACTTACATGTGATGCGTTATGCCCAGCTTAGGCTATGGCTGACAACGCAAGAAAAAACACATCCCTTGCCCCCCCCCCCAAAAAAAAAAAAAAGTTCAACAAAGGGGATTAAAAAAAAAATGAAGAGAAAGAAATAGTTCAACAAATGGGATAAAAAAAAAGAAAAGAGGAAAGCAGCGCAAAAATAGCGTCAGCACAATACCATCGGCAAGTTATAGAAAAGATTCCGCCCACATCAGCTGTTTCCAGATAAGAGAAAGACCAGCACAAACAAGACTGCGACCCAACATCTATACCTTGATCGAGACATGGAGATCGCGACATGGAGAGTATCGCAACGCATGTCGAACACCACGAGGCATCACCCTTTCGCTTTCCTTTTTTGGACAACACAAACCACCTCGGACAAACTGATCAGATGATGGTAGCAGGTGCTTGCTCGTCTGACGCCATAGTGCGTCAATGAAACAAGGGGACGAGGACGATGGATTGCTTACTATAACTGTGCGAACTGTTTAGGACTGGGGCATCACAAACGATTACATGGATCCCTGACGGAGGCACCAAGGTTGCGATTGTCATTCGGAGTCGACCAAGCAAAACACTACGGGGGAACAGAGACGATGAATGGAAAGCACTGGAAGGGAAGGAGGCGGCACAAGGGCGAGGGTAGGGGGGGGATTGAGAGAGAGAGCGAGCAAGGGCCAGGGGAGGGGAGAGAGAGAGAGCACAAGGGCGAGGGGAAGGGGGGGAGAGAGAGAGAGAGAGCACAAGGGCGAGGGGAGGGGAGAGAGACAGAGAGAGAAGGAGAGAGCGGCAGGGATTAAATCCGAGAATGGGGAGGATAAGGACTTCCCGGCATTGGCAATTAAGCTTTGAAGCAACGAAGTGCGCACCTTAGCATCACCATCGTCCACAGACCCAAGCGCGATTATTACTCCACGTCCTGATCATCATCATCATCATCATCATCACTGCTTATCATATTCTCTTCGCCATCATATGATCGTCATTAGCATCATCGTCGCTGTCGTCACCAATATTTGCCATCAGTTCCGCTCGGCCTCGATGTCTTCCCCATTTCCATTTCAAATCCTCATCATCATCGGCATTCTCATGGTCATCATTCTCATCCGAATGATCATCATCATCATCATCCAGATCATCCTCGATCATCAATCATCAATCATCAATCATCAATCATCATAAGGCCGCCATCAGAATTCTGGTGCCGTTCGTTCGCCAGGCTAGACTGTGACAGTGCCCTGTGATTCCAGTTTCTGCGATTCATTCCTCTCTGTTTCGGTCTCTCCGTTTCTTTCAGATCACTCCACTTGCCGCTGCATTTATTGCCTTTTTGAGATTTCTCTTCCTTCCGTAAGTAGCATTCTACGCTCTCCGATGAGGAAGGAGGAACTGGGACGCTGGACTTTGTCAAACGATCGCACCGAGCATCGAGTTCGACCGATCGACGGCAACATCGGACATCGGCCCTCGCTCCACTACTCTCAGAACCGTGCAAAACGAGAGTGAATCTTCCGCTAGAAGATGGAAAGATACACCACCATTATTTTTGTCTTTTATGCATGTCGAGAGTAGTGGAGCGACGCCCATCGAACGAAAACTTAAGCACTCACTAACAGAGAGAAGGGGAGGGAGTCGGGAACAATCTGGAGCAGGGGAAAAATTTGAGCTCTGCGATTAGCAGCGACGGACGCGGACTACCGTAAAGGCTGGGGCATTGAACACCTCATGGACCATGCAGACAATGTGGTCACTACCAGGCAACCTACGTTGCAGTCCTGAAGGAATCCAACGTGGCAGGGAAAAGAGGATTGTCAGTGAAAGGCTCGAGCAACCCAGATGCTTACCTTGCAGGATCTCCCGCCACGTAGCCTGTCCAAAACGGGAATTTTCAAAAGCGGTCTTTCCAAAAGCGCCAAGACGCGACGCCGCTTCCGATTAGCAGATGATGGCCACGTGGCGGCTCTATCACACCGACACGTGGCATCTCCGCGGTCAGCCACCTGCTCAGCCAGGCTGCAACCCATCGAAGCGGCATTTCCGATTCTGACTGTTGATGACATTGCCATGATTGGCCTATCCTCTCCTTCTTCTCTTTTTTTTTTTCGGTTGATGTCTCCTCTCCTCGTGGCAGTGATGTGTGTTTTGTGTGTTTCTCGCTTTCCCTCTCCCGCCTTTTTGCTCCTTCAAGCGTTCTCCCGCCCACCTTCTTTCTACGAGGTTCAGAGCATATAGTCACTCACAGTGGGACTTTCCGAGTGAATCTGGATATCTATTGCGATCCGATTCGCTTGTTCAAGAAAGTCAAGTATGACTATTGCCCCTAACCTTTCGTTTCTCACGGCCCGTTGTTCTGATGCGACCTCTCCCCCTTTCTTCTTCCCGCCTTTTTCTGCCCGCGTTTAGCCTCCCGCCGTTTTTCTCCCCCTTTCTTCTTCCCGCCTTTTTCTGCCCGCGTTTCGCCTCCCGCCGTCTTTCTCCCCCCGCCCTTTTTTTGTTTATCACACCCCGCAGCCACGTGGATACCGGATTCTTGATCACGTGGATCCCGCCCTTTCGTCGGATCCTTGATGCGCATGCCACGTTAATGCTGCCGCTCTTCACAGCGTGCCACGTGGATGCTACTGTTCTTTGTCAGAGTGCCAGGCTTGCTATGGGCGCGCTCCACCACCACCCAAATGAATCTTCCCGCTAGAACATGGGAAGGTACACCTCCATATTGTTTGTCTTTTGTGGATGTGGTGAGAAGGCGATCAAATTTTTTTATTTTTTTTCGCCCCTGAAAAGAGAAGATTCTTTTTTTCACCACTACGTTTCAGAGGCATACGCGAAGTCCATCTTGTACGGTACATTTCCACGACATGGCAAATGCTGAGAACCGCTCTCAGAACATACTCACACGGGGACCTGATGACCACCAGTGCCGTTAACGCGGAAGCCGAATCGGCCTGCCCCTGCGGTCCAAGTTCATTCGAGGCCGGGGGTACTGGTGGAACCACTTCCCAAAATTTGAGGCAGTTTTCAGGTCGAATTGGATAGGCCCGCTACCCAAATGTACTTTTCTGTGACCCTTTTGTCCGCAGCCTGCGTGACCGCGGGAGGACCCTTTTTGAGACCACCTCCAGAGGTGGTCTCAAATTACCTACTCGATTTTCCTTTCTCCGTGAGCACGGTTCCACTAGCAAAGGAGTAAGGTAAACTGTGTCCCACAAACACCTGTGGGACATCAGCGGGACATATT